TAATTACTACCTAAATACCTAGAAAAATGTATTATGTTTGCATTGTGAGACTCTCAGTTACAGATTACCTATTTCTCTCACAGATGTTTATCATCTTCTGTCTCTCTCTCTTTCTGGCTTGCTATTTCTCCCTGTCATCATACAATGCTTTCCACACCATACCTTTCATCACGTTGAAAAAAGAGGGCCAGCAGGTGCTTCTCATAGAGCCCAGAAATGCTACAGCCTTGACATGTTTTCACAGGCCAACTCGAAGAGGGAATGTGAAATCCGATGTAAATGGAAAATTTGAACAGACCAGTTCTTCCATCACCCGTAAGGAATCAGTACTCAGAAAGCTAGATTCTTCCCCAATGCTTTCAGTTTACACTGGGCATCAAAGAATCAGAAGATGAAGAATGTACAAATACAACACCCACAGAGCCTCATGTATGATATATGATACCAGGACTGAGCAGTAATATCAGAGACCAGATCATCCATCCATACATACACATCCATCACGAGGCAGAATGGCCCTTTAAGGGAATTAAGCATAACCACAGCCTGTGACTAATTACCTGCCTTTCAGGGGATGGGTCAAGGCCAGATATACTGGTAGATGGCTAACCATTTGTATCCTGGGGCCCTTCCAAATGAAAATATTTTCATTTAATCTCACAGATGTTGTACAAGATACAGCAAGCCACAATCATTTGGATGACACTTGCTTCGTTATCAACCAGCTAGTTGTGTAGTTTCAGTCTGAGCCTACTAAAGTGCACATTACATTACCACCTGCAATTGCTAAATGTGTAGTGGAATTTTCTCTTCAGGCCTGTAAGCTCAGAGTATGGTTTTAAGAGCAGTAGAACTTGGGCCACCAGAATAACAGTGGGCACCAACACCCGCATTAATATTATTGGGAGGGAATAAGGTTTGAGGTTGTCCAAGAATATAAACAGTAAATCCTGTCAGCTCCCTGACATCATATATTTTACCTGAGCTCCCCACTCCAAGAACCTGACCTTATAGTCCTACAGAACCAGAGGGTGGTAGTCTTTATGGATGATGGATTTGCTTTGCTCATTTAGCTGAGCAAGCAATGGGTTAAAGTGGCTCAGCAAGACCTTAGTGCAATTTGGAAATCCCATTCTCTAAAAAACAGCTGTTATTTCAGGAATATTTCATGCCACTTTAAGAACTACATTGCAGACTGAGAACCCAAGAGATCACTTGCCATCATCAAGATGGTAAGCCACAGTTCCCAAAAGGTCACAGCAACTCAGAGGTTGCTGCATTGGTACAGATTCCCTCTATCAGGTGCTTTGGTGCTGGAAGGCTGTGACAGGTTCCTGGCACAGCTCCATAGAGGTTTGCTTTCCCGCTCCTTGTTGGAGTTGCACTTGGGCATCTCAGGCCTGCAAGATCAGACACTCCCACTACAATGTAGGATCTTGCTCCATAAACACCAGTATTCAAACTGTGATCGCTGTTATGAAAGCAATCATCACATTTGCTAATCTAGCACAAATGCATCATTGTTATCCTCCAAGGTCAACAACCATACTCGCTCTGAAATACCCAAAGGTCTGTAAAGCATGTTTCAGAGTTGGTGACCAAAAGCATTAACAGCTTTTAGCAGATCCATGACTTGGCCAACTTACATAGCCAGGGGGGTTGTGAGGAGCCTGAAGATCTGGGAAATGTCAGCAATATGTGATGCCAACCAGGCATACTCCTCCCTAGTTCTGTAGGCACCGGGTCCAAGAAGGAAGGAAAAGCTGTCGCTACCATCCAGGACAAGCCATATGTGACATAGAAAGACTCTAGTCTGTGAAGTATGAGGAAATCTGAGGAGTGCTCTCAGAAAACCTATGGCCAAACATAGATCAAAAATGATCTATGAACCAGAAGGAGCACATCCCCCTTGCCCAATAGCTGAATGAGCAATATTCGCCTTGAATTTAACAGAGAAGGGTTGAAATGCTTACATTCCTTGATTTTAATCTCTGGCTTAATTCTAGGTTTCTGATCAGTCATGAGCATGCTCTGCCCATGGGATGTTCTGAAATGCCTCTCTCTCAATGCTTTCTGCTAGAGTCATCCCTCCCCTCCCCGCAAAGAAAGGCATCATAAGTGCCTGAGCTTGTATTGATACCAAATGGAAACAATTTAAAATCAAATAATAAATTGGATAGGGGAGGAAAATAATTTTCCAATCATTGCTGCTCTATGTGGAAATCATGGAAACCATACTTAATCCAGTGCAGAACGCACCTCCTTGCAATGTACGCATCCAAATGCAGAATGTTTCCCTTTGTGTTTAGACGTATCCAGTTACCAGAGTCTAAGCTACATTATACTGTTCAAAGCCCTCTCTCCTCTTCTCAGCTTTAACCTGGTGTTAAAGCTGAGAAGTGTTTATCTCCCTTATTAACCATACTTAATCCAGTGCAGAACGCACCTCCTTGCAATGTATGCATCAAATGCAGAATGTTTCCCTTTGTGTTTAGACGTATCCAGTTACCAGAGTCTAAGCTACATTATACTGTTCAAAGCCCTCTCTCCTCTTCTCAGCTTTAACCTGGTGTTAAAGCTTAGAGATGTTTATCTCCCTTATTCAAGTAATCACAATTGTCAAGGATAATGTACTCATGTGGACAGCAGTGGGAGCAGGCTTCTGTCCTCCGTTGTGTGCCTGAGTAATTTTCTACTGTGGTGTACACAAACCATCAGTGTTTCTGGCTTCACTGGTTGGAAAACTCATTTTGGAAAACTTTTTCTATTTTTCTCCTGTTCCTGAGTTCTTTTCACATTCAAATCCTACATTAAACTTCCTTTCTCCTTTCCTTTCTGCTCTCTGACTCTTGCCCCCAAATGTCTTCCATTTGTATCTCATCCCTATGCTCATAGCTATTTAATTTAGTTATTGATTGTTCACAGGAAACAGAATCTTTGGGCTTAATTGATGTCATTATGTATTTGATACTGACAAATTCTTTTATGAAATGCAATAACATGGGTTTTCTCTTTTTATACGGACTTCACGGTAAAAATGACAGCTAAGTTTTAATGTATCCATAGGATCTATAGAATTTCATTCCCAGGCCTTTCTGTGCCTGATGTGCACTGCAGTGAAGCTTATTTTCAAAATCTGCTTGCCAGATTCAAGTGCTCTTCAGCCTCTCATGTTCCCCTCAAATGTTCAAGGATTGTGTCAGGGCACAAAACTATCAGTGGGTTTAAAGAGCCATATGGCAACAATGTGGCAATCCTGTAATAAAAGAAAAGCTAGGTCCAAGGGAGATGGCACTTGCTCTGTTCGGCAAGCTGCCCGCACAAAACCATTCTTGGTTGGCACCACTGGCCCAAAGGAACTGGCATGCCACATTGTGTGTCGGCACCATGCCATCCTAACAGATGGCATGAGTGTAGGCAGCCAAGAGACCATATATGAACATCCAATGTGCTTTCTAAGAGCATAGTTCACAGCCAAAAATCTTTCATTGGTTATCTGCTTTGTGTTTCCATGAGTGTTATCAGGGAGAAAAAGCAAACCTGGGAGGTGAACCTGGTGAGGACTAGGAGCCTTTAATGGCATAATCTAAGTCAGCGGTTCCCAACATGGTGCCTGTGGCACCATGGCACCCTGCAAGGTTTATTCAGGTGCCCGTGCGCATTTTCACGCTCAGTAAAAATCATTATTCCAACAAAAAAATGCTGTCCTGTTGGCACCCGCTGATTTTTCTTTTAAGTTTAAATGTGACCTTGGGCACATAAATGTTGGGATCCCCTGATCTAAGTTATAGTGACACTGGCAATAATACAACTGAAACCACTGACTAAAGCTCAAGAAACTCTTTATATTATTGGTATTGAACCCCATAATTTGGTAGCCAGTGGTATTGTCATGAACTAGGATGCATGTGCTTCATTTCCCTCTGATGCACTGGAACAGGGCTGGCCTTACAGAAAATGGCACCCTGGGCGAACTTATATTTTGGCACCCCGCAAATCAGTGGAGCTGCTGCAGGCAGAGACAAGGGACATAGTCCAGTGGGGAAGCAGAGCAACATGGTATGCCAGGCAGGTGGGCAGGAAGGCAGGCTGGACTGAAGCAGGTACCACCCCGTTCACACATGCCCAGCCTGGCTCCTCCTGAGCAGCTGCTAGAGGCATGGGGCAGGCTGGGATGGGCACTGCTCCTCCTGCCTGGGTCAGGATCAGCCTGGGTGGCACAGGGCAGGGGCTGTTCACATGTGGGTGGGTGGGTGGGTGGGTGTGTGTGTGTGCACACACGCGTGCATGCATGCAACCCCTGACAATGGCACCCTGGGCAGTCACCGAAGTCACCCACCTGTAAGGCTGGCTCTCTACTGGAAGCAGACCATTCAACAGTATTGTAGGCCCTATGCTACAAAGCAAACCACTTCCCTTCAGCTCAAGTAAAAGGAGTAACTGCTTATTTCTCTATCAATCTCGTTCTCGGTTTTTGCCTCAAGGACCTAACCACTTTAACTACAGCCTTCTATCTCCTCATTCCACCTTGTTGCATCTTTGTCTAACCCTTTCAAATTAGTTGTTGCCTTGGTCCACCTTGAGATCTGATACTCTCCACTTCAGCTTCCAAAATCTGCCTCCTGTGCCTTCTCTCATCAGTTCTTGCAATAGGCCCTCACCATTTCATTGTCTGTGCTTTTATCCTGCTCAAGGCATCAGGTCTTTTGTAAAAGTTCAAAAGCTCTTGGAG